AACTAATATCAAACAAACAACATGGATACCCTATTAAGAACAGATTAAATCCCGAAAGATCAAACCTACTCTGATACTAAGTTGAAAATCAGAGTACACAACGAACAAATGAACTAACCGAATATAAAACTTTATTAAATTGAATTGCCAAGAAGGTTACATAAACCGAAGAAGCTACATCTTGACTGACTTAATATTCTACGAGCTACAAAGCATCATATATATAGAGAACTCACCTAATCTTAATAAGCGAGAAAACAAAATCCTAATACTAATGGGCTAAGCCCAAATTCAAACAATAAAATAATTCTAAATTCCAACAAATACAATATGTGGCAAAAGCGCTTTTAGTGTTTGTACTTTGTACTGAAGCTTTTGCGCACCTCGAGAGTGAAACTTTAAACCGAAGCTCGTAGGGTTACTCTATACGGTTAAAGAAGCAACTCTGTTGGGGATGAGCAGGTTGCAATTGGTCAGTTGGCCTATAAGGCCGGTGACTGGCAGCGCTTCTGAGTAACCGGTGACCGGCAGTGCTTCTAAGTAAAATATAAGTTCCTTCGAATAAGAGAACTATATTTATGTAATAAAAATAAATAAACAGATGCATCATGCATGGTAGAACTGAGGTTTGATCTAGCATATGATGGCAAAACAATATAAGGACAATGTACTTGAGAATGATTTTATGAGGAGTAATATTAGGGACACCAAATTTTTAAAACCAAATTGGAAAACCAAATAATATGTCATCAATAAGAAATAAGCACGTTAATCGATACTTAATTAATAATCTAATCATCTACAATCACATCATTTAGTTTACAAATTTGGTTTAAAAAATTTATTCTACCTAGTATTACTCTTTTATCAGGATTGTAAACACTTCGATAACAAAGTACTTTTGAGTGCTTAGTTAACTTCTGGAAAACTCCTATTATATATTTCTTTAGGAAGTAGTTTTAAGGGGTTTTGTGTGTGTGTGTGTGTGTGTGTGTGTGGAGAAAGTGCATATGCAAACGTACTCAAAAGAAGATTTCGAATCTTATAAATATTTTAGTGTCCACTAAGTTTATAAGATTTTTCTAGAGCTTCAAGGGTTTTAACACTAAGTTTATATATATCATTGCCCAGTAAGTTTCTAGGAAAGTAACAAGTAACAAATCATTGTGACTCTTGCGTCTAATATGTCTTAATGTGTTCATCTTGAGAATTACTAATCCACATTAACGGTAACCAAGCTTTACCAAGGTCTACTAGTATATACAAGGTTCTAAAAGATACTAGGCACTAGTCAGGCGGCAAGTTGGACTTTAACACTTAAGCGGACTAGACGGATTGAAGTAAATTTGTTATATATTATATAAATATGTGCCTAATTATACTTAGGATAAATTAGGTTCACGTCCTTCTTTTTGCTACTCCATTGATTAAAATCCTATTCATTTTCAATTTTTGAACAAGGTCCTTGGGTATTAATAACATTATTAATTATTTGAATAATAAAATATTTTATTGTTAAATATATTCCTTTAGTGTTAAAAATGTTACAATTAGTATATTTATATTTATGGCTAAATTTTTTATCATATATTTTTATTTTTAGTTTGTACCTATTTTTAATTTGTACCAATTTATTTTTCATTTTTAATTTGTACCCATACATTAGTTTCTTTTTGTGCCCATATTTTTTAAAGTTTTATTGGTGTTTGTACCCATGTGTATACCGTCACGTGACATTGTATATTTAATCAATGATAGAAAAATTACATATGGTATATTTATGTTTTATGCCTAAACTTTGTATCATATATTTATATTTTTAGTTTGTACCCACTTTTAATTTGCAACATTTTTTAAATTTGTAGTATTTTCTTTTTAGTTTTATTTTGTACCCATGTATTAATTTCTTTTAGCGCCTATATTTTTTTTAAATTCATTTGTACTAGTATTTTTTTAATCTTTTATCTGTAACCTAATTTATTTATAATGTACCCATTCTTCTTTATTAATGTACAACTTTGTTATATGTGAAATGTACCAATTTTTTTGTAAAATGTACCACTTTTTTAACACTATGGATACATTCTTTTGCCATTTATTATTTCTTACTTTTACATAGTTTTTATCCATTTATTCAATCAAAATGTTTGAATTTTTTTATTGTAACCGTTTATAATAGTATTATAATGAGAGATTTTAAATTTATAGGATTATAAATCTCATAAAATATCAAACAATTAATGTCAAAACTATAAAAATATAAATATTAATTGTAATATAATGAGGTGTACAAAGTCAAGGGACTTTGATCAAACTTTGAATACCATTAAAATTTTAGTCAAAGAATGTTAAGGATTAGGGACCACATCCAAAGTATCCTTATACTTATAAAGCACATAATTTCATTGGGATACATAAGTTGCAAAATAAAATGACATATAGATTATAAAGTATTAGAACATAATGAAAACATGAGGAATAAGGATATAATGTGTGTTAATCTAAGTATTCAACAAGTCTCTTACAATATTGGAAAAAATAAAATGCAAAATGAAAGTTTTGTATTTTCGGTCTAAATGAGAGTCTCAACCTAGGCAAGTGTCTAGGTGAGTTTGGGCAGGCTAGGTGGGCGCTTAAGCAGGTCTATGCACCCTTTCTTAATTTTGAAATTCTTAGGTATTAATCGGAACGGTGACCAGCTGCCTAGTGTCTAGATGGGGCCTAAGTGGTGCTAGGTGGAAATTTTTATAACAATGAGTATATAATATGAGTGACTTTAGAACACCATATATTAATGCCAACACAAAACATTTTATATCCGCATGCATGTCAGGTAACGAATGTGTTTACCTAACAAACTTTCTCAAAATACAATAAACTTGTAATTCTGTTGGTTTGAATCATGCATTCACTCTTAAATCTAAGCTTCGAGTTCCAATTCTCTCCTCCTCCCTATGAGTTCACATCGAAGAATAAATAAATAAACTTGCCCAAAGTTAATATTTATTTGTCTCATAATCCATGATCTTTCATGTGTACAGATTACTTATTTTCATAACATCGCCTTCACCCGCAAATCAATTTTACAATTTTACAACATAAAAAACCCATGCTGCGTGTGGTCCATAAAGCACTATCATTCCAAAAATATAATACAAAATAATAAAAAGTACCACGTGTCTCCTAGGTGACGTTCCAAGACCATCAATACCTAGAGAATTATAATTCCCCAATACCCAAAATGGCATCATCAAATTAATATTTAATTCATCCTTTAGAGTGATTCCTTGGAACAATCTCCTTAAGAAGTAAGCAAATCCAACACCAGGTCGAACCAAATTGGTCCTCTAGTAATTTTCAAGTTAAACAATGCCACCACCGACTTAATTTTAATTTAAAATATATCAGGCTATGCTTAGTATGCTAATGGAGCTACTCATTCTTGTTGTCCAAATGCATAATCACTATGTACGTGGCCTCCATCCATGGAATTCCTATTTCTCTTTTGTCGCACTTCAAGAACTTAACGTTTTGGATCCTACTAGAATATGTCACCCTGTGCAAATGGCATATTTCTAGCTTCCTAAAATGCCTTAACATAGACATTTAGTATTATGATCTAGTGATATTACTTTTCATTTGTAAGTGAGAGGTTTTAAGTTCGGTTCTTGTCAAAGGCGAATTTGAACCACATTATTGTTAGTCCATTGTGAGGCTAATCCCACATCCTCTTCCTTAGTGTAAATAATATCGTTTGTTAAAAAAATGCCCTTGTTTGAACCAAAAATTTTGATCTTGTTGATTGAAGCATATTAGCCACTTGATTGGTCTAATATTTGGGGTTGATCCATGATGTTAAATCATAAATCATTGATGAAGACACTTAGACCATAAAGATGGATTTTCTACAATGTGAACGCATTTCTAACCATTAAATTGATAGGTTTATTTTTCTCCATGTTTTATGAAAGGGAAGTGTTATTGACACTCCAAAAATCTCATTGTACACTTCTCATAATTGTATTTTTTTTCCTAATATAGAAGTTTGGAGTATAGAATGAGATTTTTTTAGTACTAATAACAATTCCCTTATGAAATCGGTGTATTTTTTCTCACCACTATAAACTATGGTGTATATTCATAATACACCTCATTATCTGACACGTGTCTTTTCACTTAACCATAATTATTTTTTTTTGCAAAATTAAAAAAGAAACATTTAATATAAATAAACAAAGTTAGTTGAAATGACACGTGTTAGATGATGAAATGTATGATGAACATATACTATAGTTATGGTAGTGAGCGAAAATGCTAGATTAATCAAAATTAACTTGATTGTTGTTTCATTAGGTGAATGAGAACACGCACCAAAGGTGCACACCATAAGTTTCCACAAAAAATAAATAAATAAATAAAGGTGCACACCATAGGGAGATCAAACTTAAGTCATGAAACCATCATATAGACAAATTACATACGGAAAAAGTGTGGCAGAGTGTTTTGTGATTGACACCCCAAAATTGTAATCCAAATCTTGCTCTTTATACAAATGTTCACTTGTATTTTATAAAGTTGAGGTGGATAACGATCATATAGCATGTAGGCGCCAATAACAGATATTTTTTTAAGATTATGTTATTAACATTCTACATATTTTATTGTACAGTCTTCATAAGTGTACTTTTTATTTTACTTATAAAAAATTTTGAGTGCACAATGAATTTCTTGAAATGCTCCATAACAATTTTTTATATATTATAATTAATTAATTCTCAAATCGCAAGTTGAAATCTCTCTCTAAAAGATAAGAAAGATAAATAAATTAAACTGATATTTGTGAGAGATCAGATCGTACCTCAATTAGTGGAAAGCAAAGGGAAGATTTTGAAAACGACAGCAAATTGACTGATGGGATTTTACAGAGTGAGAGGGCTCATGCTGCAGATGTATAAATATGCAAACAACCACTTCCAAAAATACCACACCATTTGGAAGACAACATCTTTGGGTAAGCATACCTATTACCTAAGCATAACACAAAAGTCGTGCTAAGCTTTCACACATGTATTTGGGAATGATGGCAGGTCACCATATGGGTTGGGGTTTGATAGAAGAGGAGGGTTGGAGAAAGGGGCCTTGGACTGCTGAGGAAGATAGGTTGCTTATTGAGTATGTGAGGGTTCATGGTGAAGGCAGATGGAACTCTGTCGCTAGGCTTGCAGGTATGCAACTCCATTCTAGCTAGTACTCTTTGTATATACTAGACCTGAGAAAAATATTATAGCTCAACTAAACTTGCTAACCGGTTACAGTTAGGTCTTGAGCCCTCCTATGTGCATATACATATGTGTGTGTGTGTGTATATCCATTGAATAAATGGGATTAACTTGTATTTTTGTTGTTGTATAATTATATAGGACTGAAGAGAAATGGAAAGAGCTGCAGATTGAGGTGGGTGAATTATTTGAGGCCAGACCTTAAGAGGGGGCAAATTACTCCACATGAAGAGAGAATCATTGTAGACCTTCATGCAAGATGGGGAAATAGGTAAATATTTGTTTACTTATTATTTATATTTTTAGATACTTTTTTCTATTGTTATATGAAGGCTTAATTTGGTCATTTGAAACGAACACAGATGGTCAACAATTGCAAGGAGTTTGCCCGGAAGGACTGACAACGAAATCAAGAACTACTGGAGGACCCATTTCAAGAAAAAGGCAGTGAAAGCGCCTTCTGATGCCTCCGAGAAAGCGAAAAATCGCCTTTTAAGGAGGCAACAGTTTCACCAGCAGCAGCAACAGTTGCAACAGATTAATCAACCAGATGTCAAGAAAATCATGGCCTTACTGGATGAAAATGACAACAATAAAATATCATCCTGCTGGCCTCAAGTGAAGCCGGATTCGGAGACCTCTACTACTACCACTGTATACCCCAACACAGCTGATCAGGAGCAAGGATTCTTCTGCTCCATGTTGCATGGCAATGTCTATATGCCTGAACCTGCCTCCACTAATGAGGACAATTATCTGTGGGATGGTTTGTGGAACTTGGATGATATCCATGGTAATTTCAACACAGCTTCAGCTTGTTCAACAGGCAAACCTAGTCTGCTCACCAACTTGGTCGTTCCCTTTTATTGAATTTCAGAGCAGATTTTGATTATTCTAGTGTAACAAACAAGTGGTGAATTTGGGGTTGTGAAATAATGCGATCCAAGGGTACCTACTTATTTACCATGCTTTTTACTTTTATTTTCAAATAACAGCCTACAATTTTAATTTGGAGGAGAATTGTAATTATTTTAATGTTGCTTTACTTTTATTGGTACTTGCTAGACAAGCTCTTGGAAATCAAAAAGCCATTAGCTTCAAGTATGGAGTTGTATAATTTTTATAGAGGCTTCCCTTTCTCTTCTTCCTCTTCTCTTATGTTTCATCACATAAAAGCTTCGTCTTGTTTTGATCTTATATTCACAATAAGAGTTCGACTACTTCCATCATATTTCCAACATCCTTCCCAAAGTTCAAACTTCTTTTAGGATGAAAACTAACATTTGTACTTCTTAAATATTTGTGTTAGCTATCTAGTAAGATTCAAATTTAAGATGTTTTTCAACAAAATAAAGAGAAATATCTTTAGAATAAAGAGAAATACCGTTAAACTAACAGTCGGCTAGTATGACTCATAAGTACATTGAGAAACATGAAAGTGCACACATGATTGCTTGAAATGCTTCTTTACATTAGTATTTTCTTTTGTGAAACTTTACAGTAGTACTTAACTTGCTCATGTCAAGCTTAGCTTTTAGTGACATCTTTGTCCTCACATCCTTTATGCTGGTTTAAATAAAGTATATAAGAGAAATGCAATCCGATTGTATCATAAAAAAATAGATACAACAAATCTAATGTAGAAATGCAATCCTATTCACTGAAAAGAATTTTTTGTTTAATCACTTTTTACTTCACTACTGTAGCACTCATTTCCAGTTTTGTTAAACGAGTATATATATAGTTGAGTTAAAAACACATGGACCATAGTATTTTCCATAAAAATAAAATAAAAAAAAACACATGGACCATGGTTGTGAATACAAATAAAAAACACACATGCCCACATAATAGATGAATACAGCGTTATTGATAAAATTGCAAAATATTCTCAACGATATTTGATTTTGAGTATATTTTTTTATAAGAATGATCTATAAACGATGATCTATAGATGAATAGTTGAATCATGAAATTACTTCGTAGAGAGGATCCAAACAAGTGATTAATATTGTGTTAAGTTACTAATTTGATTACGCTTGAGCGCATATATATTGTTTTGGGGCTCATTTGAATCGATTTTAAAATAACTGAAAGCGTTTTTAATAAAAATGTTTATGAAACTAATCCTAAGTAAAAATCCCAATGGATCTTGGAAAAACACTTTTAGTACTTCCTGCAAAAAGTACATACCTAAGGCTTCCTCCAAAAAGCACTTTAACTGCTTTTTTTTTGTTTGAACAAATAATATCATTAACACTAAGGAAGAAGGGGTGGGCTTAGCCTCAAAATGAGCTAGCAATAATGTGGTTCAAATTCGCATTTGGTGATAATTGAACCTAAGATATCTGACTTACAAGTGAAAAAGAATATCATTAAACTGTATTAATTTCATCAAACGTATTTTCAATCATTTTAAAAATACTTCTAAATGAGCTCCTTTATTTGTACTCTGGTATTGTTGAGCTGATAAAGGTACGCAGAAGTGGGTTGAGATAGACCAGCCCAATTTTGTATTTGGCGGTAACGCTGAACTTGGACTGGGATTGTTTTCCAATCCACCGCACTTGTCACTGAACAAACAAGAGCCCAAACAAAAGCACCACCGATAGAAACAAAGGCCGAGTTTTTCCACCTTCGGCTTCCATTGCATCTCCGGCCATCTCCAACCACTTTACGCCATCGATGAGCATCCCCCAGCTCCGTCTCTGATTTTCGTTGCCCTCTGGATCTCACACCCTCCTTCTCATAGATCTCGCAGCTTTGTCCTGATCACTCTCGCATCTCAGCAACAGGCAAGTAAGTTTTTTTTTTGTTTTTTTAATGGGTTATTTATTTATTTATTTATTTTAAATCATTAATATGTTTGTGAAAATTGCTCTTTGTTGCTGATTAAATTAGTATCTGAAGATTAAAGCGTAATTTTACCAAATAGAAATGTAATTCTTTACTGGGTTGGGACTTGGTGTTTTTCTGATGCTTAACTGTTAGGGACAACAATGGTGATTGCACTGCATTCTGCACAAGTTCTTTTAGAACAAAGAGAACCCACTTGTCCGAAATTCGATTCAAGTTGTACACTTTCTTAACTTTCTTTGAAGTGTGGAAAACAAGGTTCATTTATTGTTTGTTCTGTAGTTCCGCAATGTTTTATCTAGATGGTGTGTATAATGCTTAACTGGGTTTGGTGTCTATCGGATGCTTAACTGGCTGTGACGACGATGCCAATTACATTATGCACAAGTTCTTCTAGAACAAAGAGAATCCATGCCATGATTTGAGGACTACTCTCTTTTTGGCAAATTGGTTTGGTTTGTAAATTTTCCTTGGTGTGTAGAAACCAATGTGCATTTGGTTCTCTAGTTCTGTGTAATGTTTTGTTTAGATGGTGCTTTTCGATCTTAATAGTTTCCTGGTTTATATGTTTTTTTATCCCTTTATACTAAAAAAATTCTTGCTTTAACATGTTGTCTTGATCTATTATTCTAGACCTTATTGCATCTCTCTGGTCACATGTTTCTCATGCATTTTAATGCTCTCAGCCACGTTGACGTCACAGAATTTTAAACTGCTACGTTTTTGGAAGCTCGATGATGTAGTTGCCTTTCACTAACTTGTGCCAATATACTATAAAACTTTGAACCAGGAAATGGAGACTAAGGGCTGAAATGCATTTTACTAACATGTATACGGAATCTAGTGTTTGTTGCATTGAAGATATTGGTTATCACATTTACTGGGTTGAATTTGCATTAAGATTTTCGTTTCTTGATTGTGTTGGTTTTAGATATGGAGATTGATAAGATGAGTTCTATTTTTAAGTATCATTTCGTTGTCAATGGATAGCACTTCATAAACTTGATCGATATGAAAAGATTCGTGATGAACATCACTGTTAATATTTTGATAGTTAAATATTTCAATCCAACAAAAAGAAAGACGGGAAATATTTCATGTAGAATATATGTTTTTTAATTTATTGTTTTATGCCATAATGATATAAGAATTGTTTATTTTATTCAATTTCTATTTTTAATGTGAAAACATTTATTAGATAGTTCAATTTTATTGTAAATCAAACCCAAACTAGTGTTATTTAACTAATCAATCTTCTTAACCCCATATTAGACCAAACCAATCTTGGTATTATTACTCATTTAAGATGTGAACTTTATGTGCAGGTGACAACAAAGATGGGAGATAAGATATGAACACCTTGGTTAATTGAATCTATATTCATCCTCAAAGCTATTTGAACATCTTCAACGTAAACACAATGACCTTCTCTACTTTCAGATCCCAAACCTAGCCCTACTGAAATGGTGGGACCAAGGAGACACTTCCTCCCACTCCTCCTCTTTTCTCTCTCCGTCCTCTTCTTCTTCTCCTACTACCACTCCTCTCTTCCCCACTCCCCCCCAAGCCCTAACCCTAAATTCACTCTCCTTCCCCAAAATTCTAACTCTAACCCCAATTTCACCTTCATCATCAAGGTCCTTGCCTTCAATCGGCTTGACTCGGTAGCTCGCTGCCTACGTTCCCTTGCTGCCGCTAACTACCTCACTGACGAGGTCCATCTCCATGTCTACGTAGACCATTTTGCCCTCGGGGATCCCCCTTCAAACATTGATCAAAAGTTGCAGGAGTCGCATCACATTTTGGAGTTTGTAGATGGGTTTGAGTGGAAATTTGGGAACAAACTCATCCATTACCGGACTGCAAATGTTGGCCTTCAGGCCCAATGGTTGGAGGCCTGGTGGCCCAGTTCTGACAACGAGTTCGTTTTTGTTGTGGAAGATGACTTGGAGGTCTCACCGCTGTATTACAAGTTCCTGAGAAGTCTGGTTGTGAATTACTATTACAATGCCTCTAACTATCGTCCCTACATCTACGGGGCATCACTGCAGCGACCAAGGTTTGTCCCAGGTACCATCCTATTTTGGTTTCTTTGTTTGTTATTTTTCTTTAGAATATCAATCTTGGAATGCCTTATTTCTAATTTAGTTACCCAAAAAGGAAAATGTAAAAGGGCTTATGGTTAGTACGAGTACTGAATTTCTTGTACTTTGAGCATTGTCCGATACCTGATTCTGATCTGAATGATGTAGGTTGGCAAGAATGTTATAAGATACTAGTTTGCATGATTGTATTATGTAAAGGCAAATCAAATTTCAGTGCTGAATATTTGGATTTCAGTTTTGAATATTTGGATTTGAAAATAAGGTTGCAATTAAATCCTCTTTTAGCTTGGCATATTTCTTTTACTTTTTTGTTCATGAAAACGAATGGAAAAGAAAGGGAGAACCTACCTTTGTAATTTCCATTTATTTGATTTGTTGTTGGCACACAGTAGCAAACTACAATTGGATAAATTTTATTTGATTTGTTGTTGCCTTATAGGTAAACACACGGGAACAAACTACAAATGGATGATAGAACACGACTCTTCTTGTACCAACTAGTTGGCACTTGGGGTCAGCTTCTCTTTCCTAAACCTTGGAAGGAGTTTAGGATGTGGTATGACGATCACAAGGCAAAAGGCATTAAGCCATTTCTTGATGGCATGGTACTTTATTACCTTTTAAAATTCGGTTTCTAGATTTTTTTTTTTTTTAATTTTAGTTTTTTTTACTATCCCCACTTAGTGGGAAAAGGCTATGTTGTTGTTGTTTAGTTTTTTACAATCTCACTCATTCCTCAGTTGAGATGTTAAATTCATGTGCAGGTGACAACAGGGTGGTATAAAAAGATGGGAGAGAAGATATGGACACCTTGGTTCATTAAATTCATTCATACCCGTGGCTATTTTAATATCTACACCAATTTTTTGCACGAGAGAGCGCTCAGTGTCTCTCACCGGGATGCTGGTGTTAATTATGGGAAAACAGCTGGGCCTGATTCCCATGTACTGGATAAAAGTTATCTTGATTCAGATTTTTGGGATATGCAACCATTGAGTGATCTTAAGTGGTATGATTTTTGTTTCAGAGAAAAATTTCCTGACAGAGTTGTTGGGAGCCTTGATGAACTCGGGTCTGTTCTTAATTCTGTGCAGAAACATGACACCATTATTATTGTGAGCCTATTTGGGGTATCAGAGCTGGCAGTAAGGAACTTGCTCTGCCACTTTGAAAGTCTAAATATATGGAACTATGTACTTATTGGCCCTGAATCTGACTTCGTGTTTGATCTGGCAAGAAGAGGACATCCGGTGATTGGTACAAACCAGTTCCTGAAGAGTGTTGGAGCTTACAAATTGATGTCTCTCCAAGATTCATATGTGGAAATGATCAAGGTCTATGTATTAAAAAAGTGTTTAGAATCTGGGTACAATGCCTGGGTGGTGGATGGGAACATGCTTCCTCTCAGCAGTGACCTTTTTGTTGAGTCTGATCCCTCATACGATTTCTACGTAGGGAAGAGCTCAGAACTTTTCTTTGCCAGAAGATCTTTCGCTCAGAATATTGGTGGTGATGATTTTATATCCAAATTTGCAACAATGGCGAACTCTTTGCTAGTAAGACAGAGCATAAGTTTTGGTTATATAATGGCAAAGCTTTTGGAAGAGAAGGGTGTGAAGGTCAAGAGTCTGGACGAGACAAGCCTTGGTCTCATGATCGTTAACAGTAATGTTAATGAATCTTTGGGGGATGGAAAACAGATGGTCTTTTGGTCTCGTGATATGGCTTCAGATTTAGTTCAGAAGCGGCTTCAAGAATTCGGTATTTGGACTGTAGATGATGACTTGTCTTGCAAGGCTGTTGTTTGTCACCAGTCATAGCATCTGATACCAGTTGTACACATTTGATCTCATGATTTCAATTTTGATTGTAACCTATATGTAGCCATTTGCTTTTTGAATTTTGACTTTCGATTTTTTCCCAGGCATGATTTTCATTTGCCAAGTTATCGGGAAGATTGTGGTTTGACATGCATGTGTGAGCTTGTAGCACATAAAGTACGGGAAAAATTCAGGTGTCCCGGTGTGTAAACCTGTTTGTTCCTTTAGGTACCGTTTGGTACGCAGACAGGACAGAACAGGACGGGACGGGACGAAACGGATGATGTAAATATTGAAAAAGATAAGGAGAAATTTTGTCATAAAATGTTATAAATTTGTGTTCCACGGATGTGGAACGGGTCGTTCCAGGGAGAAGAGGTGGAACGAAAAATTAGCCAAATTTCGTTCCATGGGACAACCCCTTCCACAGTTTTTAAGTGCACCAAATGTGGGACGGAACGGCTTGTCCCGTTCCGTCCCGCGTTTGGTACGCCAAAAATGGGTTGAACGGGCTGTTCCACGGGACAGATTTTGGGTGTTTTTGCGTCCCACCTCCCCCCTGGAACGGGTTTGTTCCACGTCTGTGGAACACACTGTTTTACCATTTTAAGACAAATATACCCTATGTATTTTTCAAAAATTACACCTTCGTTCCGTCCCGTCTCGTCCCGTCCCGTCTGCGTACCAAACGCACCCTTAGGTATCGTTTGGTATGCAAACGGGACGGAATGGGACGGGATGAGATGGGACAGGACGGGACAGAACAGAGAGGGAGCAAAGATGCCCTCGAATGGAAACAATGAGGAAGGAGATGGAGAGGTTATAATTTTGTGTTCCACGGATGTGGAAAGAGTCGTTCCAGGGGGTGAGACGGAACGGAAATTCACCCAAAATTTGTCCCGTGGAAAAGCGCTTTCCACCCGTTTTAGGCGCACCAAACGTGGAACGGAACACCTCATTCCACTCCGTTCTATCCTGTCCCACGTACCAAACGGTACCTTAGCATTCATGCTCGTAATTCTTGCACACCTATTAGATACAACCGTATAACTTCACACCTTGATTCCCCTACTTGCTTTCCCTGGTTCGTTAAACAGAGTAGGAGATCTATTGAATCTTGCTTTATTGATGTTGAGTAAATCTTGCACACCTATTAGATACAACCGTATAACTTCACATCCTAACTAAGATTTGTGTAATCATACTAATTATGGTATCATTTCCTCTTTCACCCCAATAAAATAAAAACTCAAAGTAATTAAGTTCATTTACACTTATTAGCTTTCTTCCTAGTGAAATTCCAACTAACAAACAACAATTTCAAGGACCCACATGAGTATATAAACAATTTTTTTTAAAACACTTGCAGTATCAACTCTATCTAAAAATAAATAAATAGAGCAGAATTAAATACAAATCGTGATGAATTGACTGAGTTTTCAAAAGACAACAATATGATTACATTGTTTCTAGAAACTCTCTTAGGTAAACAATTAAGGCTTCTGTAATCCCACGTCTTGCCCTAAATTATGTCCCAATCTTCTTTGGAGTGACACACTAACAAAGAAAAGGGTAGTGGTTTAGTAGAATAATTAAGGAACCCATATATCACATTTTTCTAGTTTAAGGTGTTTCACTTTTCTAGAAATGTTAATTAATCCAAGAATCTGAGATTTTGATTCGGTGACAAAAAAACGTATGAGAATCTCATCCAACTAAGGTTGGTGGGTCTGATGATAAATAAAAATCAGAATAAGGATATTCTACTAATTATTTGATCTAAGTGATAAAGTTAGGATTTTTTTTTTTTTTTTTTTTGGAAGTGTTGAGACTAACAAGGCGTTCTCTTACTAGAAATGCATTCAAATGGACATATCTACGCACGGATAGTGTACCATTGGAATGCATGATATTTATATATGTTATAGGTAGTGCAACTGAAACAATATATATTAATTTTAATAGATATTTTAAGAGAATTTATCTCCTCTTGGTACGTATTAATTTGTCAACATTAGTGTTTCAAGCGCAATCAAATATTTTTTCATGTGATATGTGGCTTCCAATGAGTTGTGTTGTACGATGTAAGTTTAACTTCTCATGTTTAGTTGATTCATTACTTCTTAATACAACGATATTAGGTGTCGAATTACCATTTCATATATATGAATTTAACTTAAGATCTATCACTTATAACCAAAGAGAAACATTATTAAGTAGCAATGCTAGTGGCTTGTTTCGTTACTTGTTAGAGTAATATATGTAATTGTACAGACCGTCCATCGATTTTAGTTTTTCAGTTCCAGATCTTATATTTGCTCTAACATTATCAAATGAAAATTAAAGTCAATGCATAAAACAAAATCATTCAAAAAGTAAAGTAAAAAGCACCAGGTTCCCCCATTTTGATGAACACACCGTCAATACCATAGAATTCTAATGGCATCACCAGATTATATTTAATTCAGAGTTTTCAGTGACTAATTGGAACAAATCTCCTTAAGAAGTAAGCAAATCCAACACCTGGTAAAAAACCCATTAGCCCTCTAAGTAATTTTCAAGTTCACAACATTCCACCACCCACTTATTCCTACTGTAAAATTTGTTATACTATGCTTAGCTTCTAGTTCTTCTTGTCCTAACATGCATGCAGAAGTTCTACATATACGCGGCTTAAAGCCATGGGATTCTTTGTGTATCTTTTGTCTCACTTCACATTAAACCAAAAGATTTAGATCCACCCAAAACAATATCTTAAGCTTTGGTTTCCAAAAATGCTTATCTTGAGCCAAGTATAGTTTAAGGGAAATGATTTCCGCTATCATATTTTTCTTACGTATACATCTATTTATTTATGTTTGTTGATTCTCCTTTGATTTATTGTTATTCATTAAAGATCATAAATGAGCAATAGTACCAAGGGAGAAAAAACAATGTTTTCAAATCGCTTTCCTACCCTAACTACATAGCATTTGTAGTTGATAATGCTAAAGACAGTTGCACTTGTCAGCTGTTAGTGCATCAACAATAATACTACCAGAAAATACCATTTCCCCGACCACATTTTGCTAGACAAATCTCCCTTCGTTTGCAAAAGGGACTTTACTCGACGAAAACAAAAAAGTGATTGGGCAAATCTGGACCATCTAGGGTTTTATATGTCAGAGGTTTTGCTTGACGAAATATTTTTGCAAGGCACGCTAGGCCATGTTTTGGCGCCAGGGGAAAAATGGATCTTATTGTGTAAAAGTTTGCTCGACAAATCTTCCAGATTTCATCGCACAGGTGTAATTTAGTGTTTAGGGTTTTTATTTTGTTGAGTAAAAGTGAGAGACATGGTTGGCATATTTTAATTCCTTCAATGATTTTCGCAGTCTGCAAAATTAATTTCAACAATCCAACCATCAAACGTGTTTGTATATACTCCAAGATTGCATACCAAAAACAAACTTTCATGGATTAAGTATGGGACGATATCCTCCGACAGTTAGAAACCAAAATTCACGATTTAACGGTCACTTTAGCTCCGATTTTGATGTTTTTTTTACTATACAATCGTTGACCCTAGCATAATACAATGAGCGAACCTGGTCATCAATGTAAAATATTTACACTAGTGGATATCGCAAAATCTTACTTTCTACTTAACGGAAGTATACAATAAACTTTGTTTTTAAATCAATTGTTTTGACGGGACAAACATTCTACAAAACTAGTTTCAACGATCCAACTGTCAAACTTGTTTATATATACTTCTGGATCACATATACCAAAAATCACAAAATCATACTCTTGTACACCTATGAGATAAAACCCTATAACTTCTATCATATCCTAATTAAGATTTGTGTAATCATACTAACTATGGTTTCATTTCCTCTTTCACCCAAATAAAAATAAAAAAACTCAAAATAATTAGGCTCATTAACACTTAGCTTTCTTCCTAGTGAATTTCCAACCCAACAAACAACAATATCAAGGATCCACATGAGTTTATAAGCATTTTTTATAACACACTTGCAACATTCGACTCCATGTGAAAGAAATAAATAGGAAAAATAAGATAGAGATCACGATGAACTCACTGAAATTCAAAAGACGACAACATGATTACATTGCTACTAGATATTTTCTTAGGTAAAAAATTAGGGCTTTTGTAACCCCACGTCATGCCCTAAATTCTATCCTTATCTGCTTTGGAATGACACACTAACAAAGAAAGGCGTAGGAGTTTAGTAGAATAATGAAGGGACCCACATCACAGTTTTCTAGCTTAAGGTGTTTCACTTCTCTAGAAATGTTAATTAGCCCAAGAATCTGAGATTTTGATTCGGTGACAAACAAACGTATGAGAATCTTATCCAACTAAGGTTGGTGGGTGTGATAATATATAAAAATTAGAATAAGGAGATTCTACTTCTTTGAATAAAGTGATGAAGTCAGGATTTTCTTAAAGTGTTGAGACTTGAGACTAACAAGGCGTTCTATTATAGAAATGCATTCAAATGTACGTATCTAACTGACATATAATGTATCATTTGAATGCATGACAATAATTTATATATATCATCGTTAGTGTCGTTACAACAATATATATTAGTTTTAAGAGATATTTCATGCGAGTTTCTCTCCTCTTGTTACGTATTAGTTCGTCAACAGTGGTGCTTCAAGTTCAATCAGATAATTTTTCATCCATGATATGTGGCTTCGAATGGGTTGTGTTGTACAATGTAATTTCAACTTCTCATGTTTAGTTGTTTCATTACTTCTTTAATACAACGATATTAGTTGTCAAACTCGCCATTTTATATATATGAGTTTAACTTAAATTCTCTTGTTTATAACTAAAGAGAAACATTACCAATGCTTAGTGGCCTGTTTCATTACTCGTTAGATGTATTTAATTGTACTGGCAGTCCATGGATTCTAGTTTTTCCGGATCTTATATTTGCTCTGGCATTATCATTGAAAATTGAAGTTTAATGCATAAAACAAAATCATTCCAAAAGTAAAGGGAGAGGTTTTGCTCACCACCCTAAACTTTGGTGTATGCTCATTACACATCTAATCATTTGTCTTTTTACTTAACCTTGGTAAACTTTTTTTAAAATTGAAAATGTAACATTTAATGTGAAAATTAACTAGAATTAAGTGAAATGATACATAATAATTGATTAAGTGAATGATGAACATACACCATAGTTATGATGACGAGTAAAATGCAATGTAAAAATAAAGTGAGCCGAGTTTTAGATACGGGATCGACAATTTGACCAAAACAAGATGTCCGATCAACAAAACACACCCCATAGCCCAGTCCAACTCAAC